CCCCTTATTTTTTAAACAGGGCGTACCTCAATTTTTGTTCAGTAAAGTACCCCACTCCTACCCTCAACCCTTTCTGCCAGCCAAACCTTCAACCGTCGCCCGGTCCGGTTGGGTCGCTCTAATCACCACCAGAGTTCAAATCCCTTGCAACCCCCCCCCCCCCTCTACAACATGTACTTTTAGCAAATAGTCAACTTGAGTAATTACTATGCACTAGAATATGTTTGGAAGTCCACTAGAAAATCTTGATACTGGGAAGTCTGGTTTCTATTCATCAAAACACATGGTTGATTTGTTTTGGTAAACACATAACTGTGACAGTGGCTGGATATAGAGGAGAAGGGAGAAGGGAGATGGGGGGGGGGGGCTTAAATTTATGCATTCCTGCAGTTCACCTACAGAACATGTCTGCTACTGTCCCTTCCTATCCCCACTGCCCTCCCCCTACTTAATGTACCCTTTAGTGTGATGCCATATGAAGCATGATACTCCTATTTCATTCAATTCCATTTATTTTTTAAGGTGAAATTCTATTGGATTGCCTCTGGTTGAAGTGAAATTAAATACCCTAATATTTACTTTAATTTCAAAATACATTTAAACTTATCTCCTACGACAAGTTTAACTTGTCGCTCTTCCATTCATTTTTATCAGATATCTCTGAGGCATTTGAAGGATCACGAGTCGCTGAAGTGTATTTAATTGAGAGTTCTATAATGTATCGTATCATAGAGTTTAATTTCAATGCTCCCATCATTTTATTGGATATCATTTAACATAATGTGACTCCAGACAAAGCTAATCAATTTAACAACATGGTATACCTTGTCCTGATTTCGATGGGCCTATTCTACTTAAGTTTGCGATATTGGCTACAATATTGTTCGGTCCCTTGCAAGTCCATGGCTATTGTGAAAATAAGTTCTGTGTTTAGTAATCGTTTTGGCATGTCCTATTGAATGATTAGGTGACTTCTAATCATTCTACAAGTAAAGACCATTACATTTTGTTACAATAGAAAAATTGAAAATTAGGATTTTTTGGAAGTTACAAAATTAAAAGTGTAATACAAGATTTGGATTCCTTTTCCAAAATCAAAAAAGAAATCTCTTATGCTCAAGGACGATCAGAGTCGAAATGGCAAAGTTATTAGCCCTCCAAGGGGTAAATGTGTGCAAAAACGACCAAATTGTCAATTTGGGTGGCAATAACTCTGCCATTGCGATTCCGATCGTCTTGGAGCATAAAACATTTTCGTTTTCTTTTGTCAAGATGACCCCGAAACAATAGTTACCTTTGCACATTTCTCCCGATCCCCGAACCCCCTCATCCCCTCCTACCTACACGTAAGTAATTGCGTAAACCATTCAAATTATCACTTTCGCTTCTTTTCACCGGACACCGGCGAAACTTGGTAAGTCGAGTTCCGCAACTCTAAAACTAAAAATTTCACACTCGGTTTGACCATCTGACATTATGATCACGTGTGAGAGAATCAGAAAGTCGCGAAGTGGGCCCAAGGACCCATTTGCGTGTTCGCGCTCTTTTTCACTCAGTGTAGCCACCACCGAAACAGCAACATCTGAAGCTCCCTCTTCGAAAAAAGGGCCATATATTTCAAATTAGTCCGTAGCGAACGGAAAGGGGACACTGAGTCTCCCTTAAATTGTCGATGTTAAAGCAAACTTCTATTTTGTCATCGGTGCAGCCGTTTTCCAGAAAAAGAGGAACGCAGACACGGACAGACAGACAGACAGACTCACGACGGAGACATCGCCTGACCCCTCAGCGACTTGGACTGAGCTTCGCTCAGCGACAATTCAATCTTTTACCAATACGCGGTTTTTGGTTGAAACTATTAATTTTGGCGTTTTTCAACAATTACTGTCTTTCTTTAGAAATGAAACAAACTTGACTTTTTCTAGACGATCACGCGGACGGCGGTGCAGAAAATAAGCCCTCTTTGAAAACTAATTTGTGGAAATGATTGGGGAAGGAACTCCCGTCATCCTTTTCCGTTACTCTGGAAACTCATGTTTCGGACAATATCACACTTCTTATAAGTGCAGTACAATGGTGTCCTACAGTTAAAAGTGTATGACCAAGGTAAGGCGTACTGCAGTTAAAAGTGTAGGACACCATGTCTCCTACTGTTAAAAGTGTAGTACACAATGTGTACTACAGTTATAACTGAAAGGGGTGTCCGACACTTGGGTTAGCTGGCACCTTGAGGTGTCGGACACCATGTCATGTGTTCTACACTTAAAACTGTAGTGCGCATGGTGTCCTACAGTTCTAACTGCAGTACTGGCCATTGGTCCTACACTTATAACTGTAGAACACTATGGGACTGCACTTATAAATGTGTGATACTTGTACGACACTTGAGTTTCCAGAGTAGGAGATATTGCGAGATGTTGCATCGTCTCCTTTGCATCTTCGGGGCCCCAGTGCGCTGCGCTTATGACTAGTTCTCCTGATTCCGAATAAAAGGCAAAACTACAGGACAAAGTTGTGCTAGGCGAAGGGCTGAAAGACTAATATTCTGAGATATTTGACAGGAGCTAAAACATCACGACACACAAAAACCGGGGGGAGGGGGTGGAGGGGGCTGGCAGAAGCGCCGCCGGCAGACGAGCGAGGAAGAAAAGGTGCTAAAGTTGACACTTTTGCGGAGTGCGACGCTGCCACCGCCGGAAGGGGGCAGGTGGAGGGGTGCGGGGAGAATTCTCCCATAGCGTTTATCATGTCGCGGAAGTTGGGTAAAGTCCATAACTCAAGTAAATAGGTGGTTTAACACGATTATGAAGTCCTCAGGATGAGCCTCGCCGCGTGTAAGACGGTCCGCCCAGTCCCCTCCCC